TTAAAAACAGCTTTTAGAAGGAATGCACCTGTCTGAGCACAAACAGGGTAGTTAGTGCAACACTAACGCTGTAATCAACCACCACTTATCCAGCATCAGCCATTCACACACTGGTGGGGATGAGATACAATGTAGCTACAGCTGCCCTGGAGCACACTGACAGGGTGCTGCCGAGCGCTGCCGCCACCGGCCCCTCTAGCCACCACCAGCAAGCAAGGCAGGCTAAGTGTCTTGCCTAAAGGCACAAAAACAGACTTCAGGCACTCGAGGAGTACAGCCGCTTCCCTCTTTCGCTCCCTTATCTTTTTTTTCCCAAGGCTCTTTGTCCTGTCTGTCCACAGAGCGCTTCTCTGCATTTCTTCTGAAAAACTTTTTTTTTTTACTAACCATGGATTTGATAAACTGGTCATTCAATGCGATCGATAAGATTTTTTCAAAAATGAGAATGGAGCAGGGGCTCCCACATGTCCACGGGGACACACCCGGTGGGTTATATATTGGATTCCTGGAAGGAGTGGAAGATCATATGCCTCAGCCAGCTGTCCATTGAGGACATCGAAGACGGTGGATATTTGGCCTGATGATCACTGGATTTCTCCTGATTGGAGTGGGAGGATATCTGGTTATTTGGAAATTTGGGAAGATGGGAGTGATTGGAGGGTGACCCGCACCCACGGAAAGCACCGTCCGTGTGGAGACTTCTCAGACTGGGACGTTACTCGAGGTGAATCGTTTTAATATGCTTAATCCCATTTGTTTCAAAAAAGTCTCTGAACAAGTCTGATTTGAACTGTGGACCATTATTCGACTTGCACGTTAAAGGTAGCCCATGTCTGCTGAATACAGATTCAAGACAGTCTATGACCTTGTCTGTTGTTGTGGATGTCAAAACTTCATACTCATAGTAGCGACTGTAATAATTTACTACTACCAGAAGGGAATGGTTAGATGGCAGGGGTCCCAGTATGTCTACGGCCACATCCTGCCATGGTCGATCTGGTAATGTTGTGTTCCTCAGTGGTTCCGGTGGATCTGGTCTTGCCACCACTTGACATCCTTGACATGCTTTGCAGTATTTTTTTGCTGCTTTGTCCGTGCCAGGCCACCATACTTTTCTTCTGAGATGATGTTTTGTACCAACTATCCCTAAATGTTCTTCATGAGCTAACGCTGTAGCGTTTGCCTGAAGTTTTTCTGGCAGAACTATGCGGTTCTGTCTTAGAACCAGGTATCCTATTACACACAGCTTATTTGCAACGGGCGCATAAACCTTACATTTTTCAAAATGTCCATTTTCGATTGCTCTTCTCATTTCAGTTAACTCAGGATCAGTAGCTGTTGCTTCCTCTACCTCCTTTGTTGTGAGCGCTTTTGGTGTCGCATTGACCGCCACGAATCTCACATTTTCATCTGATTCATGTCTGTGTCACTTTGTGTGCCCCCTCTGTGATTAGTCTGGACAGAGAGTCTGCAATGTTTTGTTTTCCCGTGATGTGCACTACTTTGTATTCATAAGGTTGCAGCCTGAGAACCCATCTTTCGATGCGCGCACATGGTTTAGATCGCTGACTGTATATGACCTCTGGTGGTTTGTGATCTGTCACTATATCAAACTGTCTCCCATATACATATGGATGTAGCCTCTCACATGCCCACACTAACGCTAGGGCCTCCCTTTCTGTTTGAGAATACCTTCTCTCACAATCTGTCGGACTCCGGCTTACATAATACACTGGCACCTCCACCCCTTTTTTTTTTTGTACCAGCACCGCCCCCAGACCTACCGGGCTTGCGTCTACAATGATTTTAAATTGGTGCTCCTTTGTCAAAGTAAGCCAAGGTACCCGCTTTAGCCAGCTCAGCTTTTACAATGTTTCTCCACTGGTTTGGCTCATTTCTTGAAACAGAAATTACATTCTCAAAATAACATGGCCAAACCTCCAAACCTCTTGGCAAATGTTCACAACACAATTTCATTTCTCATTCATTTTATCAAATGGCAAATGCCTCAGTACATGTCTCAATTGTCTCAGTGCATCTTTGCAAATGATTAAGTACATGTAGCCTACAGTTATACAGTTAGCCCACATTTAGCACGTTTTCCAAATGAATAGATCTTGTGGAACTAAACTGATTAGTTTATTCTCAGTCTAATGATCATTCTCTCCAAAACATGTCAGCATGATTTCATTGTTTGAGTACTTGCATCCACAACTGTCTGTTCAATTGTCGGAATTAGTCAAGAGCATAATACCATGAATACCATATATGAATTTCTTTGAATATTTGATACATTGATGACAGTCATTGACAGTCAGGTGAAACTAGACTAACGAAGAGGGAGTGTCACACACAGGTGTTTTCCATGATCATGTGCTGCCAAATACAGATATGTAGAACTTGACCAACGCCAGTCCGATCTCTGAATATGGATAGACAAGGCCAAGCAAACGGACAAGAGAAAGTAATCCGCTGTGATGTGGACGAGAATCTGTGGCCAGACGGACAACAGCGTGTAAATAATCAGGAGGGTGAAGGCAGTGGACAACAGCGGGAGAATGCGTACAGCGACCACTGAATGCGTCCTCGTTTTTTGATTTTGTGTTCATACAATTTACTGTATTACTGTAATGTACATTTTCTTTTTAAATATGTATGAAACTTTCTTTGCATGTGAATAAAAAATTGTTATAATTTCCTTGGTAGTATGAGTGCTATCTGTGATGTCAAACCTTGGAGGCTACTCTTTTCAGTTGTATATTGTTGGCCCTCTGCCATAGTGACAAAACATCTAAACATTTTGTATGGCAGCACTCACACAATGCTAAAGCGATGATGCATTTTGGGGGCACTGACTATTCAGATTAGAAAGAAATGTCGTTTTGACACGAGTGAACTGTTTTAGGAGAGATGTGAGCTTTTGCAGGTAAACCACGATGTTGTGATCAACCATCCAGGTTTATTTTGACAAAAGCACCAAGAATGATGACAATGTCCGATCTGTGTCAAGAAATGAGCCAAACCTATTGAGAAGGATCTTTGCCATTTTGGATGCACTGACTGTTTAAATGAGAAAGGGATTTAGATTGAAGCCTGGGTGAACAGTTTTGGAAGAGACGTGAGCTTTTGCAGGTGAGCTGTAGTGTTGCGATAAACTGTAAGAGTGTTTTGCCAAATGATCTTAGAGGTTTGAGAATGTAATTTCTGTTTCAAGAAATGAGCCAAACCAATGAAGGAAAAACTGTAACATCTGAAACGCTTGTTTTTGTTCTGGTCCAAATCAGAACTCTGTTCCTTTTCTGGTTACGCACCTCAATGGTTCTGATAACGTCGCAAACCGTGAACCTGCTGCTGAAACCCACCAAACCAAGAAAGCTTCTTACTTCTCCTGCATTGTTTGGTTCTCTTACTCTCTCCTCTGTAGGTCCAGTGCCTTTCTGTGTTAACAGTATGCCCATGAACACAAGCTTGTCCATGTTAAACTGACACTTCTCTGAGTTTAACGTTAGTCCACATTCAGACAGCCTCTTTATGACCGCACACAGACTTGTATCATGCATTTCCTGGTCAGGGCCGTGAATTATGACATCATCTGAGATGTTTGCAACTCCTTCAATGCCCGCCAGCGCGTTTGCTATTTCATGTTGATATTGCTCGCTAGCCGATGATACACCAAATATTAGCCTTTTGTATCTGTACACTTCGTTGTGAGCTGCACATGTAGTAATTTCTCTAGACTCTGGCGTCAGTTCTAGCTGATGATATCCGCATTTTAAGTGTAGCTTACTGAACACAGCAGAACCATTCATGTCTTGCAATATTTCATCCACGGTGGGGATTGGATATCGCTCCCTTATGATAGCTTAGTTAGCTTTTCTCATGTCCAGACGCAGTCTGGTGTCTTTGTCTCGCTTTGGTAGCATAACTACAGGATTTACCCATGGAGTGGGACCTTCCACTTGTTCTACAATATCTTTATCTATTAGTTCCTGAATCTTTCTCTCAACTGATTCTCTCAAATGGAATGGTATGCACCTGAGTGGTTGAGCCAATGGTTTCACGTTTGGATTAATGTACAAGCTGAACTGTTTTGTATTTAATTTTCCGATTCCCTGGAAAACTTCTGGGTACTGCGCCTGCAGTGAATGCTTAATCTCTGTGATGGCTGTCACGTTTTCACCTATTTTCAGCTCCCCTAGCTTTGTGGCTGTCTGTTTTCCTAGTAGTGGTTCTCCATTTCCTTTTATCACGATGAACTCTGCCTGTTCTGTTTTGTTGCCTATTTTGATTTCACACTTGAATGCACCTTTAACCTTTAGCGATTGGTTTGAAGAATATGCATATAAGTTTCTCTGCTCTTTGGGTACATAAGAAACGCAACTTATGTTATTTTCTTTTAGTTTTTCCCAGACGTTTTCTCCCATCACATTACTTGTTGCCCCGGAGTCTACTAATATTTTTAGCTCCACTCCCCCTACACAGAATGTTAGTCTCTCTGGTGTGTCATCTTCTTTGATAATAAAGGCATAATCTGGCCTTTCTTCTTTTACCACGTTCATATTTTTCTGTCTTGGTGCTTTCGTGCGACACACTTTTGCAAAGCGGTCTCTCCCTTGACATTTGTGGCATGTCTGTCCTCTGGCTGGACATTTGGGGTCTTTTCCTATATGATCCATGTACCCACATCTGTAGCATTTCTTTTCATTTTTCATATCTTCTCCCTGTTTCTTTCTAATTTTTGGTTTCACTGATTTTCCTTCATCTCTAGTGATGCGACTGATATTCTCCTCTTCTTTCTTCACAACGCCTGCACCTGCGTGCATAACTGACATCTGTTCCTCCACTCTTTCACACTGCGATGCCAACTCTAACGTGCGAGCAAGGGTTAGCCCCATGCCTTCCTCCAATAGTTTTCTCCGAACAGAAGCAGAAGTGCACTTACTCAGGGTAGCGTCCCTTATCTGTTTGTCTGTGTCCATCCGCTTCCGGCCGGTAACAAGATGGCGCCTGTGCTTGGCTTGGCCACAGTCACCGGCCACTTTTTCAAACTTTTCTCCACTAACCTCCTCTTTTCCACCTTGCTCCTGTCTGCGATCCTCTTCAGTAGTGTCCCTGCTACCATCTCCTATGATCGCCAGACTCTTTTGTCCTTCCGTTCATTCATGATCTCCCAAGATGCACCGAGGACATACCTCCCTGTTTGTTTATCTGAGTGGCGCACTGGCCCAGAGCCAAACGACGATTCCAAACAGGGAGCCTCCAGCGATGTTTATCCGGTCCCGGGAAAACGTTGGAGGAAAAGAGGTAAACTATAGCAGAAATCCAGGTGAGAATAAGACTTCTCTTAAAGCGTGGTTTATCTAGTAAACATCGACGTGATCTTCTAGCTTCTTGTCCTTTGTTTGGCAACTTGAGCGCCACTTCCGCATTCCCGCCAGGCCGCGTTGTGGTTTCTCCGTCCTAGTTTTTTATGGTCGGTTTATCCTCATTCCTCAGTGGTTTCTCCTCCTGTTCCGTCCATAAGTGTTTTTTAAACACCGTGGATCTAACCCTGCTAATTTACGTCCACTAACTCCAGCTGTTTCTGTAGTTTCTGATTCCTCCACCTCACTCAGCATGGCTCTATTGAACACCCGCTCTATTAACAATAAGTCCTTCCTGCTAAATGATCTAATTCTCTCTAAAAACCTGGATTTTCTGTTTCTGGCTGAAGTTTGGCAGGAAACATCTGATTATTATGGTCTGATTGAACTCTGCCCGAGTGGTTATTCTTTTCTTAGCCAGCCCCGGGGTTCTGGTCGTGGGGGAGGCCTAGCTGTTGTTTTCAGAGACCATCTTCCATGTAGCTCTACAACCTCTGGTCACTTTGCTTCCTTTGAACTGCAGCTGATTAAAGTTGGGCGTAAGAACCCGTTCTACTGTGCTGTGGTCTATCGTCCACCTGGTCCAAACGGTTCTTTCCTTCAGGAGTTTAGTGACTTTCTATCCTCCACTGTGAAGCTGTCCAGACTGGTGATTGTTGGTGACTTTAAAATCCACGTTGATGATCCCTCTGATCACTTTGCCATAAATTTTTCCAGCCTTATGGACTCCTTCAGCTTTACCCAGCATGTTTCTGGCCCCACACACACCAGGGGGCACACTCGGGACCTTGTTTTTACCCTGGATCTAAATGCTGACAGTGTTTGTCCTGAGGACGTTTATATTTCAGACCACCATTGCATTTTCTTTAACTTGTCAGTTTCTGCGTCCCTACCTCCTGCTCGCCGTGTGGTTAGTTCTCGTTTTCTTAATGAGAGCACAGCTAGCAATTTTTCTGCTGCTTTTGATCCACCCTGTTCTTCTGATAACGACCCAGATTCCTTAACTTCTCAGTTTAACGAGCACTGCCTCTCCATTCTGGACAACATCTGTCCTGTCAGAACCAGATCAGTTCCTGCAGTGAACCCTACTCCCTGGTTTAATGACAGCCTTCGCAGCCTGAAGCGCCAATGCAGAAAAATGGAGCGCTTGTGGAAGAAAACCCATCTCCACATCCACCTGCTGCACCTAAAAGATCTTCTGACATCCTTTAACTCTGCAGTCAGAGACACGAGAGTTTCCTATTTTTCCAACCTGGTGTCCCAGAGCAAAGGGAACCCCAAGGTGCTGTTTAACACCATCAGCAGCATTGTCTCTCCTGCCTCTTCTACAGCCTCCATCCACTCTGTTGCAGACTGTGAGAACTTTCTGTCTTTCTTTGTGGACAAAGTCAATAAGGCTAAATCTAGCATCTCTCCTTCAGCCTTATCGCTGCCTCTCCCGACTCCAACCAGGCCCATCATCCTAGATAGCTTTGCTCCTGTTTCTTTGCCTGAGTTAACCAAACTAGTTAACTCTATGAAGACCTCTGCATGCCCCCTCGACATCTTACCCCCATCTTTGTTTATAAGTGCTTTTCAGTCCATCGGTCCCAGCGTGCTCTCCATTATTAATGCTTCTCTGGTTTCTGGTCAGGTCCCTGCTTACTTTAAGAATGCTGTAATCTTAAAAAAACGAGTCTTGACTATGGCGTTTAAAGCGTGCCACAACCCGTGCACGCGCATTGGGTCCACAGCGCGCGTGTGAACGGGACTCGCGAGCGGAAATATACATGGCGAGAGGTCATTTGTGCACTGAGAGGGAGCAAACTGTGTCTGTGAGCGCACAAGGATGTGCACAAGTGACAAACCTGCGTGCGCGCGTTGTCAACGAGCACACGGCAGAGGAAAACGTGCGCGCGCGGCAGCCTCTGTGCGCGCTCGGCAGCCTCTCTGCGCGCTCGGTTTCTGACTCCTGCTCGCTCGGCTGTAAGGGTTTTGGCACTCTGGAGGCGTGGCCTGTGGCAGATCTTCTCTATCCTCTGATTGGTTAGTGTACCCCGCACTTTACCCTCTACCTATCTATATAAAAAAGTCTGCTATTCAAGCAGTTGCTGGCATAGCTCAGTTGGGAGAGCGGGTGACTCTCGCCCCGGAGGATCCAGGTTTGAAGCCGGGCAAGGAAAATGCAGTAGATGTCATGTTAATTTTTCTTAATTTCAGGTATTTTACAGTTGTGACCGTTCAACTGTCATTAAACGTCCGAATGTTTGCTGGGCAGTGTTTTAAAAAGTGCACATAAGCTAGATGGTTTTAACCATAGAAAATTACATTTTTTGTGATACTGGAAAAATACATACTGAAATAAAACTACTGATTGAAAACTTTATGACTGTGGTTGTACAATATATGACTCACTAATACACTGCAAACTCCCTTAGAGTGGGGCTTCCAGAGAGAGAGAGAGAGAGAGAGAGAGACAGAGAGAGAAAAGTTCTTGCCTCATTAATGAATTGTTTATTTTTTTTCAGTATTTAATTGACAAATTATCCTTTCAAATAATTAATTGATGAGTTACATAATTGTCCATTTAGAATTGTTGAATGGACTGAGTCAAGTTTGGTGCACTTTATATATTTCAAAACATGTTTTTTTTTAATGATGCATATAAATAATTTAAATGTTAATTTAATGAAATATTTCTATTTTTTCATTACCTCACCCTTGTTTTGACAAAAACGGGACCTTGCTGGATAATATCATGGAGAAACTATTTGTTCACAGTACATGGCTCAGTGAGGATCTGTGTACCAAAGGAGGAGATACTCAGAAATCTGTCTGCAGATTGTTACAACCCAGACTGGAAGTGGTGGGCTGTAATAAGAAAGGAGACCAAACAGAGGAGTGGGGGTTCAACAACTGATTTATTTAACAAAAGTAAGGATTTACTAAAGCAAGTTAGTGAACAGAAAATGGCCAGTGAGGACTCTCCACCACACAGGAGAGACCCAGTGAAAGCAGAAAAACAGTAGGCTTTGTAGGCAGCACCACACCCTGAGCCCAGGTGCCTCCAAGGCTGCTTAACCAGCTGCCTACAACAGAAGAAAAACACAATTAAACACAAATGAAAACCCAATGAGACGGTGGGGGCATCACAACACGTTCAGGACTACCCAAACACCAGTAATTCTTGACTGCACTGATCTGAGGTGTCAATGGCCATATTCCCCTCTCTTCCAGAGTCATATATTTTCCTCAAGTTCAACTGCACTCTGAAGAGGCTCATTTGGATTGTGCCACATAGGCCAGTGACCTTTGTCTCAGCACTGTATGCTGGAACTATCAGCGACCAACCTGGGAATCTGGTGTGATGAAAATGCTACAACTAGAGATGGTCATCTTGGTAGACAGGGGTTTCTTCATTGATGACATTGTGCCCTGCAAAGTGTACAGGCCAGCTTTCCTTTCTGGCAAACCTCAAATGTCTGCATGTAAAGTTATAGAAACAGAAGCCATAACATCTCTGAGTGCATGTGGAGCGCTCCATTCATCTGGTCCAAGAACACAAGCATTTTGATTGTTATTCCCCTCCTTGCATTTGTAAACAATCAGCTATATGCTGTGGTTTTTCTCCTTACCAACTTTTAAAATAGCCCACTAGTGAAGGCCTGGGCAAAGAAGCCTGATGTCTGAGAACCTCAACATATGTACGGCAACCATACTGTATATTTACACACTTTCATAAAGAAACTGCATATCAAGCTTTCATTCAGATGACCTTCAACAGTGCTGCACCCTGCTGAGGGACATCCGAGTAAAACCTTGAGATGGCCATTTTCTGTTCACTAACTTGCTTTAGTAAATCCTTACTTTTGTTAAATAAATCAGTTGTTGAACCCCCACTGCTCTGTTTGGTCTCCTTTCTTATTACAGCCCGCCACTTCCAGTCTGGGTTGTAACAATCTGCAGACAGATTTCTGAGTATCTCCTCCTTTGGTACACAGATCCTTACGGAGCCATGTACTGTGAACAAATAGTTTCTCCATGATATTATCCAGCAAGGTCCCGTTTTTGTCAAAACAAGGGTGAGGTAATGAAAAAATAGAAATATTTCATTAAATTAACATTTAAATTATTTATATGCATCATTAAAATAAAAAAAAACATGTTTTGAAATATATAAAGTGCACCAAACTTGACTCAGTCCATTCAACAATTCTAAATGGACAATTATGTAACTCATCAATTAATTATTTGAAAGGATAATTTGTCAATTAAATACTGAAAAAAATAAACAATTCATTAATGAGGCAAGAACTTTTCTCTCTCTGTCTCTCTCTCTCTCTCTCTCTCTCTCTGGAAGCCCACTTAGGGAGTTTGCAGTGTATTAGTGAGTCATATATTGTACAACCACAGTCATAAAGTTTTCAATCAGTAGTTTTATTTCAGTATGTATTTTTCCAGTATCACAAAAAATGTAATTTTCTATGGTTAAAACCATCTAGCTTATGTGCACTTTTTAAAACACTGCCCAGCAAACATTCGGACGTTTAATGACAGTTGAACGGTCACAACTGTAAAATACCTGAAACTAAGAAAAATTAACATGACATCTACTGCATTTTCCTTGCCCGGCCTCGAACCTGGATCCTCCGGGGCGAGAGTCACCC